ATGCCTCAAGTGGTGCCTGGTCGATGCCACCTAAGGCACACCGACGATATGTCGCAAGCGAGTAGTTACTTCAGCTTGGACATACTGACGATGCGCCTCAAGTAGTTCTAGACTAGAAGCATGCATGAGGCATGGTTTCAGCGTTAGCCGTCCAACAAATCGCCGAGACTTCCCCTAAGACAACCCAAAGCGCTCCAGCGAACAAGTCTTGCCGGGCAGACTTGGGCATGCAGACGTTCTCGCACAGACGAACCTGCACAAGAGAAGAAGACGGCCTCCAGACGAACTACGAGCCCCCCAGCATGCCGCGAGAGACCCCCCAAGAAGACTCCCCACCGCCCGAGTTCTTTCAATTCCCATACGTTGTTTAACCTTGCCGCGATCACCACTTCTCAGCTTCCCGACGCTCCAAGACGACACAGGCTTCTGAGAGGCCCCAGACCTCCCCACCCCATTCCCTCCAGGAAGCGCTCCGACTACACCACAACAATACGCAAAGACAATACGCCTCAAAAGGGACCGAGATCACACGCAAGGCACGGTGGCGGGCTTGCCGAAGGCATTCATATACATAATTGCACCGGAGAAAAACCCCAATCAGTGGATGGTCATGAAACACCAGAGAAAAACCAATATCACAATCGATCTCAATATCCATATCACTAACATGGATCTTGAGATCGATTGTGAGATCAATAGTGCAACGGATAGTGAAGACGATTGTATAGTCGATCGTGAGACCGATAGTGAAGTCGATTCAATAAGATCGATAATGAGATCGATCGGAAAATTGCTAGTGCGATCGATAGTGAGATCGATTGTGAGATCGATAATGAGATCGATAGCGCGGTGGGTGATGGGATCGATGGTGGAACCGATCGCTAAGATCGGCCAGGAAAACGGGAACCCGGGAACCCCGCCGCCCACCGAAATCGGCCCGGAACCAGGAACCCGAACCCGGGAACCCAAGCCCGGGAACCCAGGAACCCAGCCTGCTACCAAAATCGGCGGGAAACTTTCGCCAAATCTTTCAACTTCCACTAGCACCCCTTCAGTACAAGCACTGATTGGGGAACAATTTCTTTCTCTATCTCCCCCCTTTCTCCCTCTCTCCCTCCCTTCCTCCTTCCCTCTTTCTCTCTCTCTCTGTCTCTACACACACATATATATACATATAGATATATGTATACATAGCTTGTTCTCCTCTCTCTCTCTTCCTCTCTCTCTCTCTCTCTCCCCTCTCTTACTGCTCGTATAGTTGATCGGAGCTCCCTGCCTCTATTATTGGGGAACCATCGTTCGCATCGCCACATTTCTTCGCGCAGAAGTTGCGAGTTGTGTTGATGTTGTCATGCTTTGCCGTGCAACTCGGATCTATACTTGGCCTGAACATCTGGAGTCATGGCTCCAGCGGTGAACTAATTCACCGGTGGGCTATTGCACGAGCCGGTCACTGCGATAACGAGAATGTGAAGACGACCATCGCGGCGCATGACCACCGCCCGTTCTGGCAAACCGAAGCTCCAGGAAAGAAAGAGTTGGTGCGAGCCCCTCATCGGAAAGAATACCAACATCATGATCGGCCACGCTGACTTCCTCCAGGATTGGTTCGACATTCTTCCGCCAGCCGCTGCCTACTCTCACTGTGTGAGTCCGAAGGAATCGGAAATTCGATGGTGTTCACGTCCGAGCCACGTCGGGATCATCTGACTCAGAAGCCAGGGACCAACCTCATCAATCAAACTTTAGTCCTTTCCTCTGCCCTTTCCCTTCCCCTCAGCGATTCCTGCCCTGGCACAGAGAAGACACAATCACCGATCAACAAGACGAATGAGCTCTTGAACAACGAGCAGAAGAGGTCAGAATAGAACAGCAGATAGCAGCAGCATATGTTTAATCCGGCATGGACTGTGAGAGAGAGAGAGAGACGGGGAAGCGAAAGTGGGGGAGATAGAGAGAGGGAGAGATATGGAGTGAGTGAGTGAGAACCCTGGCTTGGAGACGGCCACAATTGTCGCGGAGGTATCGAGGACAGAAAAGGAGAGCATGCGAGACAGAAGGCGGGAAGAAATGGGGGGCAGAGGGGGGACAAGCAAACGAGAATAAGAGAAAGGAGGGGGACAGTGGAGGGGATGACGAGGCAGAGATTGGAGGAGGAGGAGGAGGAGGAAGACTGAGGGCCGGAAGCGACTGAGTGAAGACAGATAAGCCAAGCGTAGAAGACAGGAAGCCACGAGGCTCCAAAGCCTCCCACGGCATCGGACATGGAGAATCGACCTTCCAGAAGGGAGGATCATCCCCTAGAACACACATCGAAACATGCATTCTCGAAGGCTTGGGAGCCTCTGGGCGGATGCACGCGGCACAGATCACGGCGGGTCCCGAGAGAGGGCGCGCACCGCTTGCGGTACAGATCCACCGCGGCCGCGTGGGCGTTAAGCACGTTGTGGGCGGCAATGTAGGGGTCCGTGGACTGGCGACGGCAAGGTCAACGCTGCCCCAGCATCCACCACAAACACGTCTGATCAGCGCCCCCACCCGTTTAGAAGAAGTTCGGGGGCTCGGGCATGCAAACTCGGACGACAAAGGGGTCTCATTCAGAGCGCGCCCGAGGAACAAAGCAGCGCGTCAGTGTGGATGCTCAGTGTTCAACAAGCGCACGAAGGACCAAATACAGGGATGATGATGTGCTGCAGTCTGGGGCGCTGAGCGCAGTCCAATCACAAGGTTGGTGGATCCGGCAGAACTCATGCGCGAGTTCCCTTCCCCCTCGTCTCCACCTCCCTAGCCGCCGCTCCCCTCAATCTACTCCATTCCCCACCCCCCGCTCCCACTCTACCCCTCTCTCCGCTGGCCTAGATTCTTGCTGTCAAGCGACTACCCCGTGAAGGAGTGCCACTACGGAGGCCGCAAGGGTGTCCACTAGAACGCTGAGCTCGGTGAGCGCTAAATGCAAACGAAGGGCTCATGTGCAAACATGCCACAAGCGGTGACATATACTTCTTCGTGGGCCAGCCTTCGATCTGCGTGTAGTCGGGGTCCGTTCTGGGCACCGCGTGCTGCGCAGTTGCTTTGTGCCCAGACATCCGATGTCTTGAGCTTCTCAATGCGGAGTCCCCGGAGGTCTGGACCTTGTCACCAGGCCCGGTTTTGCGTCCTGAGTCGTTTTTGTTGACAGTCCCGGGGCCAGGCGAGGGCCCCCAAAGACCGACAATTGAGAAACAATTCCGTCTCGAGTTTCTCGAGACGTTGTAGGTCTGGGTAAGCACAGAGGTCGGCACCGTGGGCTACACTTGCCCGTGGATCCTTCTTTCAAGCGCGGCGTTGGCACCCACAGCCCACACAGAGATCGGGCCTGCTGGGGGGGAGGAGCCGTGCCTCCAGCATCCTCCTCGCCCTTCTCCTGCCCCATTCTTCCTCCTCCTCCTCCTCCTCCTCCTCCTCCTCCTCCTCCTCCTCCTCCTCCTCCTCCTCCTCCTCCCCTCCTCCTCCTCCTCCTCCTCCTCCTCCTCCTCCTCCTCCTCCTCCTCCTCCTCCTCCTCCTCCTCCTCCTCCTCCTCCCTCCTCCTCCCTCCTCCTCTCCTCCTCCTCCTCCTCCTCCCCCTCCCTCCTCCCTCCTCCCTCCTCCCTCCTCCCCCTCCACAATTACTCAATATGAATATACTCTCCCTCTTCCCCTGATGGCGTCCGGTGATAGCCGCGCGCCCTCCGCGCTGCTCTCGCTTGAGGCGCCGGCCTCATTTCTGCTCCCGAATCCTTCCCCTGATGGCGTCCGGGTGATAGCCGCGCACCCTCCGCGTACTGTTTTCTTACACACAGGATGCCCGGGAAATCCCGGGAAACGACTCTCGCTGAGGCGCCGGCGTCATTTTTTCCCAAAATGCTGCTCTCGTTGAGGCGCCGGCCTCATTTCTGCTCCCGAATCGTTCCGAATCGTGCTCCCGCTGCAGCGTGGGCCTCATTTTCGGATCGGTGTTTGGCCTCCGTCGTTCAGGATGGCGTTCTCGCCCCAGCGCGGGCCTTTTTCTCGCGCGCCCATCCGCCCGCCACCACCGCGCCGCACCGCCACCACCACCACCACCACCACCACCACCACCACCATCACAACCACCACCAGCACCAGCACCACCAGCACCACCACACCACCACCACCACCACCACCACCACCACCACCACCACCACCACCACCACCACCACCACCACCACCACCACCACCACCACCACCACCACCACCACCACCACCACGACAACCACGCACACACGCACGCACGCACGCACGTGCACCACCACCCACTACGCACGCGCGCGCGGAGCCACAGGTCCGCTACGACACGCGTCCGCGGATAGAGAAAATCAGCGCCATGGTAAGGGATGGGAGGGAGGGGTAGGACGTCAGATATGACGCGAGCGCACCTAGCTTGCCCCTCCCCCCCTCCCTCCTCCCTCCTCCCTCCTCCCTCCTCCCCCCTCCCCCCTCCCCCCCCCCTCCCCCTCCCCCTCCTCCTCCCCCTCCCCTCCCCCTCCCTCCTCCTCCTCCTCCCTCCTCCTCCTCCTCCTCCTCCTCCTCCTCCTCCTCCTCCTCCTCCTCCTCCTCCTCCTCCCTCCTCCTCCTCCTCCCTCCTCCTCCTCCTCCCTCCTCCTCCTCCTCCTCCTCCTCCTCCCTCCTCCTCTTCCTCCTCTCCTCCTCCTCCTCCTCCTCCTCCTCCTCCTCCTCCTCCGCTCTCCTCCTCCTCCTCCTCCTCCTCCTCCTCCTCCTCCTCCTCCTCCTCCTCCTCCTCCTCCTCCTCCTCCTCCTCCTCCTCCTCCTCCTCCTCCTCCTACCTCCTCCTCCTCCTCCTCCTCCTCCTCCTCCTCCTCCTCCTCCTCCTCCTCCTCCTCCTCCTCCTCCTCCTCCTCCTCCTCCTCCTCCTCCTCCTCCTTATCCTCCGCCTGGCAGGCCCGCGCGCAGCCCCCTTGGGCACATGGCACTGGGTCGGGGCGCACGGGGTGGGGGGCTCCGCCTGGTTGCTGAAGGCGTCGATCCCCGGCGCGGCCCCGTATCCTCAGCGCCATGGGGAGACGAGGCGAGGCGCCGCCATACATCCAGAAGGAGGACCCTGCGAGAGCACGGCGGTTGCGCCAGAGCCTGGGATGCACCTTTGGATCCCTGTACTCCATTGGCGTAAGAGCTCGCGGAGGAGGCAAGACGACGAAGACGACGACGACGACGCGGAGCAAGAAACTGGACAAATTGGCAAAAGACCTACACTCCAGAAGAGGCCGGCCAAACGCCAACGCATGCGTGTCAGCATGCACACGTGTCCAAGCTCCATGGGGCGGAGCGGAGCGGAGCAGCGCTGGTCCGACGGACCGGCCCTTGCGAGGGTAGCGCGGGCGGGCCGTGGCCTGGACGAGGGCCACGCCGCTGCAGTGGTGCGAGCTGAGAGTTGGGAAAGCAAGCTGGAGACTTGGCGCTTCGCAAGGCTCGAGCTAAACGGTGTTTCCCGTTCTCGTTTTGTTTTCGTTTTCCTTCGTTCTGTCTTCGTTCTGCCTTTGCTGCGAGACGAAAACTAAAAGAAAACGATCCACGAAATCGCCAAAACACCGTTTGGCTCGAGCCCCAGCGGCGCTTCGCTCTGGGATCGGGGACTACAACAGGAGCCCGAGTCGGACACCTATAGGAGCTGGAAGCCAGAGCCGGCGGGGAGGGGAGGGGTGCCGAGCTTTGCTCCGATTCGGCCGGCTCGATGTTCGCATGGCGTTGTTGTGCATCCTGGCGCGGCCGATCCGATTCGATCCCGACTCCGTGCCAGCTCGATCCAATTCGATTTCGATTGTCTGACGATTCGGTCCAGCCCGATGTTCGCATGGCGCATACAGGAGCCGGAGTCGAAGACCTGGGAGCCGGAAGCCGGAGCCGGCGGGGAGGGGAGGGGCGCCGAGCTTTGCTCCCGACCCTCGACTTTGGCTGATTGAGTCGGAAATGCACCCAAAACGGTGCGAAACTCGGCGGCGAGCCCGGGGGGGAACTGAGAAGGGGCGGGCCTTCTCTGAAGGCTCGGAAATACCCCGGCCTGCTGAAGGCCTCTGAGAAGGCCGGACCGCTTCTGAGAAGCCCCGCCGCCTTCTGAGAAGGCCTTCTCCTTCTCACTTCCCCTCCCCACTCGCCGCCGAACTAGGGCGGCTGTTTCCGCAATGGTATGGCGGAAAGCAGGGCCGGCACCAACATCAAAGGAGCTCGAAAAAAAAGGCGGGAATTCCCGCCCCACTTGCGACATCGACCAAAGCAGGGCGGATCCAGCGGATCCGGAGTCAGGGCCCCCTGAGCCCATCCCCCTGAGCACACCTCGGCTCTGCGGCGGCCGTTCGGAACGATCCAGGCGCCCCCGGAACGCTCTCGGCGAGGCGCAGCTGGTAGAAGGCACCCCCGAGGCTGGAAAGACGCCGAGAACCCACGAAAACGACTGAAAACCTCGAACCTCGAACCTCGACCTCGACCCAAAACGACCTCGAAGCTCAAACTTCGACCTCGAGGAAAACGACCGAAAACCTCGAACCTCGAACCTCGAACAGCTCGGGTACTGGGGGGGGGCGCTGCCTGGGGGCGCCAGGCTTTGCCCTCGACCTTCGAGGGTCGAGGGTGCGGGTGCCGAGAGTGTGCACCGGCTCATCCAGCCCCGAGCTGGGATCCCGCCAGCCAGCGCTTACAGTCGGCGCGCTCGGGCTGGAAGGCACCAGAACAGCATTGATTTACTCACACTTTGCGCTCTGGCAGGGGTGAGCGTGAAGAGACATCTAAAGATAGTGTTCGAATACTAACTCCTAACACCACCACCTCCATCACCCCTCCCCTCCTCCAGCTTCTCTGTTCGTATTTGTTTGCAGCAAGACAACTATGGTCGTATCTGTTTGCAGCAAGACCGCACTTACACTGAGGGCAGCGTGATCGACGGAGAGCTGCTCTTGAAAGGCTCTGCAAAATGCTCTGCTTAGAACGGGCGATGTCGACTTTCCTGTCCAAGGGCAGCCGAAAGCGGCTCGGAACCGCCGAAAGCTCACTGGGAAGAGCGTCATGGGAGAGGGAGGAGGAGGAGGAGGAGGAGGAGGAGGAGGAGGAGGAGGAGGAGGAGGAGGAGGAGAAGGAGAGGAGGAGGAGGAGGAGGAGGAGGAGGAGGAGGAGGGGGAGGGAAAGGGGGAGGGGGAGGGGAGAGGAGGAGGAGGAGAAGAAGGATGGGAGGAGGAGGAGAGGAGAGGAGGAGGAGGGAAGAGGAGGAGGAGGAGGAGGAGAAGGAGGAGGAGGAGAAGAAGAGGGAGGAGGAGGGAGCAGGAGGAGGAGGAGAAGGAGAGGGAGGAGGAGGAGGAGGAGAGGAGGAGGAGGAGGAGGAGGAGGGGAGGAGGAGGAGGAGGAGGAGGAGGAGGAGGAGGAGGAGGAGGAGGAGGAGGGGGAAACGGTGTTAAAAGGGTCCTAAGGAGGGGTTTTTTCGGGCTATATGGCACTCTCGGGGGATCTAAGGGACCAGGAGGCAGCAGCAGAAGGACGCGCAGGCGGCGAGTCAGTGGCTTTTTGCTGCGCTTCCATGTCTGGGCGCGCTCCTACGAGCAGAAACAGGCGCCTAGCGGCGAGTCACTGAAACTTGTGGACGCGCTCCCGCATCGGGATGCTCCTGAAGTGGTCGAGAACTATGTAGTCGAACATGTTGGTCCGCCTGACTTGCGCATCCTGTTCGGTGGTCAGCTCGACCACGTGATCGGAAAGCCTCTTGTATGCCTTATCGTAGTGCTCCAGGTTCCAACCGATCGCGCTCTCGAGGTATGCCTTGTGCTCAAAGTCCTTCACGAACAGCACGGCGTCGAACTTCGACAGGCGCTCTATCACCTTCTGCGCACGCAGCTCTGTGACTCCCCCTGCAGGGAGCGGCCACACTTCTTCACCGCCAAGCGTGCGAACGAGAAAATTGTCCCAGAACCGCCGCAACTTCCAATGTTTCTTAGTGGGGGATGCCTCATTGCGAGCATCTGTGGCAGGCACCACCTCGAGGCAGCTCAAGGAGGCAATCGTCTCAACTTCTGAATAAGCCTCTTTGCTGGCCTTGGATATAACGCACTCGTTCGGATCTCTCAGCAGAGTTCCATTGTTGAAGTCTTCATGACATATGCCTTGATCGTCGTGTCTATTCTCGATCTGGCCCCAAATGGCGTTGGACCACACAAAATCATAATTCCTTTTTCCGCAATTGATTGGCTTCTTCGACCCGTCGGGTGTGTCGTGCGGCCACCAATTTCCGTTGAAGCTCAACCGGACAACCTCTCTTCATCACCTCCTCCTGCTCATCATCATCCTCCTCCTATTCCTCCTTCTTCTCCCCCTCCCACTCTTCATTACTTCCTGCTCCTCCTTCTCCCCTTTCCCTTCCTCTTCCTCCTCCTCCTCCTCCTCCTCCTCCTCCTGCTCCTCCTCCTCTTCATCCTCTGAGCTTGAAGCTCGCCCGGACAACGTTCTCGCCGCTCATTTCCGACAGCGAGTACACGGAAGTTCCCATCGACTTGTGAATATGGCAGAGCTGAGAAATCAGGACAGCCAGAAGAGAAAGTAGCAAGCGGAGAAGAGAGGGGAGGATGAAGAGGAGGAGGAGGAGGAGCAGGAGGAGGAGGAGGAGGAGGGAGGTGGAGAACGGGAAGTAAGTACGAGGACAAACAAAACAAGGAGAACGATGATGAGCAGAAACAGGATCAGGAACAGGAGGAGGAAGAGAACGAGGGAGGAAGAGGAGGAGAAATGGGATTGAGGAGAAGCGTCCAACTTCGCCGATTCTCCAGCCCTATATGGACCCACATCGCTGGCTTCGTACGAGACCGCTTGATGCGAGGCACTTACTTCTCCTTTGACGGGCTTCTTCTCCATGGGTATCACATCGGTCGACTCCGTCGGCAGTGGCGCTTCTGTCACCGTGGTGGTTCTGAGGATTGTCGTTGTGCGGCGCCGTCGGCCTTGGAATCCTCTGTGTATGTCCTGCTGCTCCGGCCTGGAGGAGGAGCACAGGCAGGAGGGCAAGATACGGACAGCATCGCGTAGTACGGTCCGCAGTCCGCGAATCCGCAAGGGGTATCGGGCGCCGCGGCCGTGGCGAGCGCTCGCTCTGAGGGCTCAGAGTTCGAAGGGGGCCTGCAGCCGAGAGAAGCCCAGCGGGGGTGTCCGATGCCCTAAGTGTCGATTGTTGAGGAAGAAAAAACGGCATGAGCAAACCTTCGGAACACCGCGCGGATTTCTTGGATTGGCGCTGGAGCCTCGTTCCTGGCGAGCGGATCGCACCCAGGGCGGTGCCGAAAGCGCCTCGAGGAAGGCCCAGTCGTGAGACGAGAAGAGGAGGACTGATAACAATAGTAATAACAATAATAATAATAATAATAATATTAATAATAATATTAATAATAATAATAATAATAATATATACGAATACTACTAATAATAATAATACTCATACTCATACTCATAATCATAATCATAGTAATCATAATAATACTGATAAGAATACTAATGATAATAATGATTATAGAAGTAGTAGTAGTAGTAGTAGTAGTAGTAGTAGTAGTAGTAGTAGTAGTAGTAGTAGTAGTAGTAGTAGTAGTAGTAGTAGTAGTAGTAGTAGTAGTAGTAGTAGTAGTAGTAGTAGTAGTAGTAGTGGTAGTAGTAGTAATAGTAGTAGTAGTAGTAGTAGTAATAATCATGAAAGCAATAATACTACGAATGCTAACAATAAGCACAATACTGCGAATCAGACGATTAATAAGCGGACAAATAAGAATAACAGCCAGTTTCAGAATAATGCGATGACGAAGACGAATAATAATGAAGAAATGATAGAGTTCCGACGAGTAGAAAGAAAACTAAGGGCGATGGAAAAAATACATGATAACAGTCACAACACGAATAGCAATCCGAATCATGATACAGATAACAACAATAATAGTCAGAGTGAAACTAATATTTTTAGTAGTACTAATAGTAGTACTAAGAACCACCAACGGTGATAATAATGTCACGAACAATAGCAGCAGCACTCATGATACGACTACAGATGATAATACTGAACAAAAACTAAGACGAATGATACTGGCAGACATACGGACAATAGCACCAATATTAGCAACGACCCACATCAAAGTAGTACGAATTAAAACAACGGTGAAAACAACAACAGCCCCAAACGTATTACTGAAAATAATACTGATAAGAAGTATCAGAACAACCACAACAAAGGAAACACATAAGCATCACAACACGAATGATGCGAACAAGAAGAATACGAGTACTGATACTAAACATAACCAGAAGAAGAAGAGCCCATCGGAGGTCCGGGCCCGCCTGGCCAGGGTCGGCTCCTGCTGGCCCAGCGTCAGCGCTGGTGCGGCCGGGCAGGAGGGCGGCCGCCGCCGCCAGGAGCAGGAGCGGACGCATGCTAGCTTTAATTCGGGCGTGTCCCCCCACAGGAGGATGTTGGGCGAACCATACAACAGATTCAAACATACCCCCAAATGGGCCAAAATGCTTTAAACAAATCGTCCCCAGACTATTTTGCCATTTTTGTTAATATACCAGGCCCGACTAAATGCTAGCTCGGCCAGAGCACGGACAGCTTCGCTGCTTCGATCCAGCGCACGCGCGTCCTGTCGACGGCGAGCGATGGGGGGGAGTGAGAAGGAGAAGGCCCTCTCGGAAGGCGGCGGAACTTCTCAGGAGCCTTCGCGCGCCTTCTGAGAAGTCTCCTGCGTCTCCAGGGGAGGCTCACAAGACTTCTCAGAAGGCCGAGGGGACTTCCGAGCCTTCTGAGAAGGCCCACCCCTTCTCACTTCCCCCTGGGCTCGCCGCCGATCTCGAGCCAGAGTGGCTTCGGAGGAAGAAGGGTCAGAGATCACCTCGCGGAAGCCTTTGGTGGTCGTCCCCATGGCGCGCACCAGCGCACCCAATGCCGCGCAGAGCGGACATAATGCATCTCCCCCACGTGGCCGATTTCGGAAACCCTGAACCCCCATCTTTTACTTCCTCCGCCTTCCGCCGGCCTTCCTCCGGCCTTCCACCGGCTTCCGCAGGCGGAGGCGGCCTCGTGATACTTCCGCCGACCTTCCGCCGCCCTTCTGCCCTTTCCTCGAAGGCAAGGCCGCTTTTTGAACGCCCCACATGGCGCTGTTGGGCGCTGGTGGTCTTGTCTTGGGCGCTACTTGGACGCTACTCGGCGCCGTTGGGCGTTGTACTCGCCGGCACGTCGGCTCGCGGACCCAAGCGTCTTCTGCGGCCGCCGTGGGCGCGTCCCGGCAGCCGCAGTTCGCTGCGAGCTCGCCGTGTGGCCCCGCACGCGCGTGCCGTCGTGGGCTCCCCCCCTCGCGCGGCCGCCCTCGTCTTCCTGTCTTCCCCTTGCACGCTGGGCAGTTTGCCTTTCGGTTGCCCCGATCAGCCCCACACTGGTGCGGACTGCCTCTGCCTCGCCGCCGACGGAAGAAGCGTGCCTTCGTGGGCGGTGCCCTGGCGGCCCTGCCTCGCGAAAGCTTCTGACCAGTCGACGCACCGAGCGTGAGCTCTGAGTTCACACGGCGAGATCATCGTATAAGGAGCCATTGGAGAGGAATCCAGGGTCTGGAAGCCGGTGGGACACCAACTGAGGCGTGGCCGCGGGCACCACCGCCACCCTCATCGGAGAAGGACTCTTCCAGGGTCTGAGGGCTCCTGGGCACATTCCTGAGCTAACGCACCCACCGTAGCTGTCAGCTGCGCGCTCGCTGCCTCTAGCGCGCCGCGGCCAAGAGACGCAGCAGCACTTCGTCCGAAAGCCCATGCACAGTGGGAAAAGGACTCATCGGCGTCATGCTGGAGCGGGGGACATTCACCGAGGTCGGCCATGGACCGAGGTCTGCCGAGGTCTGCGAATGCTGCTACGTTATGAAAGAAGCGCGGTCTCACACAACAATATTATCCCATGAGGTGGACAAATTGGCACGCGATTTGCCGTGCGTGCTCCTGGTCATGGGCTGTGACAGCCCCTTGCAGTGTGAAGGTTCATGTAGACATCGCGATGAACAACTATTTACGTGGCACACGATCTGGTGCCACGGCATCTGGTTGTCTGCTACTGGGTGGTGGTGTAAGTGCATCGTGCTGCCTAGCCGGGTTCCTGCAGTCTTCCAAGACCCCCCTCCTACACGCGCCCTCGCGGATCGCTCCCCGCCTCTCCCAGGCTCTCCCCCAGCGTCCTGGACGCAGGCCAAGACGCCCCCGAAATGTCCGAGACGGCTGTCCCAGGGAGGATGCCTGGGGGCCCAATTCCATCGAGCTGAGTCCCAGGGGAAACCTGGTCCACTGCCCCCCCGTTTGAAGCCCAGGGGACGGTAGCGCATTTGTCTCATAATCCTGCGAGTATGTAAGGTCAAATTTGTTGTTGGAGGTGTGGGTGCTTTGGCTCTAAAGCCCCCACTGGAGGTGGCAGGCTCGGTGCTGGCCGAATTGCGGTATGTAGGCAGCACTCCACCCCTGCAGGCAAAGAAGCCCTGACCAACATTCAGAGGTGCGAGTCCCCGTCCAGAAACAAGAAGGCTGAGTGGCCTGACGAGACCCCATGCCTAGCGAGGCTCACGAGGCGGGCACCCACCCGCCTGTTTACATAGCAATTCGATGTGTAAACTGGTTAGTATATCATCTTCTCTCTCCTGATCGTCTCCGGAAGGACAGCAACAACCACCAGACCCTCCCAAACGCTTCAAGAGAGCCCAGAAGGACCCCAACGGCTCCAAACAACGCCCTGATAGGCGCCCAAGAGGCACCAGAAGGCCCCCAAACAGACCCCACAGAAGGCCTCCCATAGGCTTGTAGGCGGTAACTGAGGGGCCCCAGACAATGAAAGGACATGCCTCGGTGCTTTTACACTACATACTCCTCGCCGCAGAGACACCACACAACGCCCTGAGGAACCCCTGGCACGGCTCCCCAGGCGTCCCCAGGAGGCCAGACGGCGGCCACGACACGGAACCCAAGGAATCCCGAGACCGCCCCGAGACTGCTCCAGGCGGAGCAAGACCTGCTCAGGGCGGCCGCCAGACGGACTCACGCTAGACGGCCCGGTGGCCCTCCAAATCGGTCCCAAGAGCCACCCAGACGCCCGCACGACCCTGGAAGACGGCCCGACGACTTCAAGAGGCCCTCTGGCGCACGAGTCGGCCAAGGAGGGGCTGGCAAGACAGATATGCGCAAGAGCATCCCTGGAGGCCCACAGCATCTTACGGAGGGCGGCGACGGCAAGGGGGAGCCGGATGATCCAGCGGAGGAGGGGAGGACTGGCCAGATGACGAGTAGGAAGGGTGGATGGAGTGGACGCAGCGGAGGGAGGCTGAGGAGGCTTCCCTTGATCCCACATAGCAACATGCATGATTACAGCCCAACATGCAGTCAAGAACATATCATTCAAGAAACCTGGGCCAGCTTCCCAGTGGGCCAGCTTCCCAAAAATTTATTAAAACAAACTTGTGTCAACTTCTGTTGTTCACGCTAAGTGGGGCGAACGTGCTCAAGAGACTGGGCCAGCTTTCCGGCAAGTCGGTTAAGAAACGCTGGCCCAGATTTTCGGGGGGAGGCTTCTTGATCAGATACTCGTCTGTACTCCAAGTTTGCACGCCGTACATCACCAAAGCAAGTTTGCGCCGCAGCGTGAGGCCGAGGGAGACTGAGGAGGAGGAGGAGGAGGAGGAGGAGGAGGAGGAGGAGGAGACGAGGAGGAAACGAGGAGAAGGAGGAAGAGAAGGCCGGGGAGGAAGGGTAGGCCCGGGAGGCGACAGAGGAGGGGGGCGAAGGACGTAAGGACGGTGGGCGGGGGAGGGCGGATCCTGATGCGAGGAACGTGAACGACCACGGCTCGTTGAAGGTGATCCAGTGCTTCACGCGGTCGCCGAAGGCGGAGAAGCTGGCGACGGCCGCCCGCCACCGCGGGTTCGCGGGGGAGAAGGATCATCCTCCCCACTCCTTATGTTTTCCTTTCGGCAACAAGTGCGCACCGTGATGTCCTTCTCCTCCTCCTTCCCCTCCCCCTCCTCTCCCCATCAGCAGCAGCAGCAGCAGCAGCAGCATCAACATAAACATCAACATCACGATCATCAGCTTCGACATCTCCGCAAACATCCCCATCACTACCACCGACATCATTACCACCATCATGGCCAGGCCACCAACAACAACATGCTCATCGTCATCATCAACATCATCGTCATACTCATATGTGTACCCGTGGGAATCCACAATTGTGTCAACTTTACCCGCTATCATATCTTACGCCCACCCGTCCTGCCTCCCTCTCATTGAATCCACCACCATGCCACGAGGCACAAGCTAGTGTGTCTTCAGGTCCCTTGTTCCCTCCGTCCTTAGTCCTGAAGACTGAGAAGTGGGGGGCCCAGGCCCAGAATTGATAGCTTCTTTGAGCGCCCCAATACACACAAAGAGGGCACCAAGAGGACCCACAAGAAGGCCCCAAGATGCCAAAACCATGGCTGTCACTTAGGCGATTGAAGGATTTGTGTGTTCTCGCCTTCGCGAGCTTCCGACACTCCCAGACGGCCCAAGAGGCCCCCAATATCGCCCCAAGGCGGCCTAAGAGGCCCCGAACAAGGCCCCCAAGCGGCCCAAGAGGTCTGCAAGACGGCCCAAGAGGCCCCGAAGACGGCCCAGGAGGACCCCAACGGGGCCCCAAGAGGGGGAACGGGGAACTTTCTTACAGGTTGAGCCATCCGCCCAAAGATGACCCGCGAGACCGCCAACATGTCTCCAAGAGACCCACAAGAGACCCAAGAAGGCCCCAAGATGCCCACAAGAGGCCTCTAAGACACCCCAGCCTCGCCTCCAAGAGGCTTCCGAGAGGCCCCCCGAGAGATCCCCACAACATCCAAGACGCCTATGACCTACAACCCAGGCGCGGTGGCGGTATGGGCCGAAGGTCACTCGATCCGCCGCCCCCTGTTGATTTATCACAGGGGTACCTGGCGTGCTGTACTTCTGGGTGGATTTTTTGGCTCTTTTCTGAAGAACTCCCTCTGGGGCGTCGGCCAAGCCCGCCCGCCACCCGGAACGACCCACAAAAACCACGACAAATCTCCCCAAGACTCCTCTCGCGATGGCCTCAAGATGGCCTCCAAGACAGCCGCGATGGCCCAAGGTGCCAAGATGTCTGCGAGCCCCAAAGATGCACCACATACGATCTGAGAAGGCCGCAAGATGGCCCAAGACAACCAGATGGGGCACCATCATCATCATCATCATCATCATCATCATCATCAGCATCATCATCATCATCATCATCAGCAGCAGCATCATCATCATCAGCAGCAGCAGAAGCAGCATCATCATCATCATCAGCATCAGCATCGTCGTCATCCTCATCATCATCATCTACATCATCACCATCATCAGCATCAGCATCAGCAGCATCATCATCACCATCATGATCATCATCAGCATCATCAGCACCTTCGTCATCATCAACATCATCATCATCATCGTCATCGTCATCGTCATCATCATCGTCACCAGCAAATCAATCATCATCGTCGCCATCATCATCATCAGCAGCACCAGCATCATCATCAGCATCATCATCTTGTTCATCATCATATTCATCATCAGCAGCACTATCATCATCATCATCATCATCATCATCATCATCATCACCATCATCATCATCATCATCATCATCATCGTCATCGTCATCGTCACCATCATAAGAATCATCACCGTCGTCATCAGCATCATCATCAGCAGCATCATCACCAGCAGCGTCATCATATATCATCATCACAATCATCATCACTATCACCACCACCACCACCATCACCATCATCATCATCATCATCATCATCATCATCATCATCATCGCCATCATCATCATTAATATCATTATTCATCATGATCGTCATCGTCATCAGCATCATCATCATCACCATCAGCATCATCGTCATCATCGTTAACGCAGTCATCATCAACTGTCGTCCTGATCTTCGTCATCCTCATCATCATCACCAGACGTCGTCGTCTTCGTCATCATCAACACCATCATCATGACCACCATCACCATCACCGGCACCACCACCACCGTCACCATCTTCATCATAATTGTCGTCGTCATCATCATCCTCATCCTCATCCTCATCATTATCAATCCATTATCAGTACCGTCATCATCATCATCATCATCATCATCTCGTCATCATCATCGTCATCGTCGTTGGCATCATCGTCATCACCAACCCCACCACCATCATCACCATCATCACCATCATCAGCAGCATCATTCTCGTCATCAGCATCATCATCATCATCATCGTCATCGGCATCATCATCGTCACCACCATCATCATCGTCATGCTATCATCATCAGCCATCGTCCTCGCCTTCGTCATCCTCATCATCATCACTAGACGTCGTCGTCATCATCACCATCACCACCATCAGCACCACTATAACCATCAACGTGTCATCATCATCATCGTCATCATCATCACCACCACCATCACCATCATGATCATTATCATCATCATCAGCATCTTCAACAGCAACATCATCATCTTCTTCGTCGTCGTCATCATCATTATCATCACCACCACCACAATCATCATCATCATCAGCATCAGCATCAGCAGCATCAGCATCAGCATCAGCATCAGCATCATCATCATCATCATCATCATCATCATCATCGTCATCGTCTCAAGAAGACGCACTCGACGCGAACCCATGGCCCTGCAACGGCTTCGAGCCCCTCCCCACTCCGCAATAACAACTTGTAGATAGCCACCCGTCCAGCCAACCCCCAAGTCATTCCCCTTCCCACTTACCCCCCCACTCTTGAGGAACTCAACTCTCGTCGCGCCCCCTTCGGGGCCAAGGCGATCAGCCGCGGAGCATTCTTATTCAGACACTCCGCCACCCTCCCCGACGAAGGGAGGCCAGGCCCTGAGAACACAGGCAGCCCAACGCAGCAAAACCGAATCGAGGTCGAACACAGCCCTGAGAACACAGCAACCCTGAGAACACAGGCAGCCCCCCCACTCCGAGGTCGAGGACGAATCGCAGAGCAGGAGAGTGATGAGGGGGAGGAGGGGGAGGAGGGGGAGCACGCGGAGGGAGTTGAAGAAGGCCGAGCAAGAGGGGGTTGGCCGTGACAGCCCTGGGGACGGCGACCCCGCAAAAGAGACCCCAGTGGGACAAAGCAAAGGCACGAGCAAGCTGGGCACGAACAGCTCAAGGACCTCCGAGAGAGCAGGCGGGCTCGGAGGACGTGTATCGGGCGCTGCGGCCGTCCCCCAGCGTGTTCGAGGAGCGCTCCGCCGCGGACGGACCCTGGAACGATCTGCCCGCATCCCGAGGCCGCCCCCTCCGTCCGTTGGCTCGCCCGAGATCCGACGCGGCGAAAGACTGCTGCGTCGCGAGATGCCGCGACCAGATCCGTCAGCACCCCATCCTTCTGCGCCATTTCTCGAGCCGGATCGACCCGTGATGGCCCCTTGGCCCGAAGCCGGGCGCAAAACGACTAGCGTGGAAAAATCGCCGCCCAGGTCAGAGGCCTCCCAGATGGGGTCGGAGCAGATGGGTTCGGAGGATTGCGCCGCAGCGCCGATGCATCGCCAATGCATCAGCGATGCACTGGCGACGGCCGCGTGGAGAAAATTGGGCTCCACATCGAGCGGCATCGTCGATACATCGGCGATGCGGCGCGATCCTCCAACATTACTGCTCTTACCCCATCTGGGAGGCGTAGACAGATCTCGGGGCAATCCCACCCTCGCAGGGCAAGGCTGGGCTCGCCAGACTTCTGCGTGCACCAACCAGTCGAACGCTTGGGGAGGAGGAGGAGGAGGAGGAGGAGGAGGAGGAGGAGGAGGAGGAGGAGGAGGAGGAGGAATAGGAGGAGGAAGAGGAGGGGGAGGAAGAAGAGCAGGAGGAGGAGGAGGCTCAGCACAAACCAAAGACGCACCAAAGATGCTGCAACAAACCCTCCCTACAAGTTCCCCCTTCTCAGGTCCCTGCATGAATTTGCTTTCATCGCGGGAAGTGCCCCATTGGAAGAGAACCGTCTGAGAACCTTCAATCATGCCATAACACCAATGCTAAGACTTCAGCGCCTCAAATCAAAGTGACTGTTGCGTCTTGACATTCCTACATCGTGCTAGAACGCCGTTCCTGGGATGTCAACACCGCGAATCAACGCGACTGTTGCGTCCTGACAAAACCTAAAATGTGCCAGAACACCAGTCCTGGGACTTCAACCATACGAGCACATGAAACGGATGTAGACTTTCAAGACGAATGCGCGCGGCGCTAAGGCGAGAGTCACATGTTGACAAGGAGCCGCCCTCCATCCTTGAAGCTGCTGCAAACTTGGAAAAACAAAAACGAATCCGCGGGGCGCAAGGGCAAGAGCCACACATGGAAAACCACCGATCCTCCATCCTTGAAAGCGTGACGAACTTGTCAGACAAACGAGCGCGGCGCTGAGGCGAGAGCCACGTTAAAATGACGGCCCGCCCTCCATCCTTGAAGTCATGAATGCTGAGGAAGTCTCGGGCGACACGCCCGCCCAGCTCTGCCGACACGTCTGGGGGTGCGACAGGAAGGGTCACGTATACACAAAACGGCTGGACGAGGAGGAGAAGGAGGAGGAGGAGGAGGCGAGGGCCGCATCCGCTCGGAGAACCAAAAGGTCCGCAGCTCGAGGCTCTAAGGAGGAGGAGGAGGAGGCGGAGGAGGAGGAGGAGGAGGAGGAGGAGGAGGAGGAGAAGAAGGAGGATGAGAAGGAGGGAGGAGGAGGAAGGAGGAGGAGGAGGAGGAGGAGGAGAGGAGGGGAGGAGGAGGAGGGGAGGTTGCTACCGCACCTCCTGCGTGGCCCCGCCGCTCGACCCACCTCCTCCTTCTTCTCGATGGCCTCAGGGTAAAAGGGTGGTGCGAGGTGGCCGCCCCCCCCAACAATATGCACTTGATCTCGACTGTGTTTTCTTCGCTGTACGCTCTGCTCACGGGTGTATCTACAGCGAGGCCTTTCTGCCACTATGACGTCTTCGGACTGTACCAAGTCAAGCTGTGAATGATCATAAACAGGCCACCACATTCCCCCCTCCGGAACGGGTGGGCCCCCGCGCCGGGGCCCTGGTGGCGCGCGCGCCGGCCAGGCGCGCGCGCGCGGCGCGGCGACCACGCACAGCGGCTGCGGAGAGGGAGGGGAGGGGGGGGGAGAGGGGGGAGGAGGTGGGGGGGAGGCGGAGGGAGGGGGGGGGAGAAGGGGGGAGGGGGGGGAGAGGAGAGGGAAGGAGGGGAGAGAGGGGGAGGGATGAGGAGAGAGAAAGGAGGGGGGGGCGAGAAAGGGGGAGCGGCGGGGCTGGCCAGACTTCAACGTACGCCAGCCAGTCGGGCACGATCTCGCCGCTCGGCCGCCCGTCGGCGTCGCGGGACCACCATGCGCTCGCGCGCGGGGGGTCGAGAAGGCCTCGGGGGGCGCCGCGCCTCTCGCTCGGGTCCTCATCCTACTCCTCCTTCTCCTCCCCCTCCTCCGCATCATCATCGTCATCATCATCAACAACATTACCATCATCGTCATCATGATCGTCATCAGGGTCATCACCACCACCACCACCACCACCATCATCATCAGCAGCAGCAGCATCATCCTCATCCTCATCCTCATCCGCCTCCTCCTCATCATCATTATCAGCAGCATCAGCATCAGCATCAGCATCAGCATCAGCATCAGCATCAGCATCATCATCATCATCATCATCATCATCCTCATCATCATCATAACCTTCACCATCACCAGCATCGTCATCATCATCACCATCAGCATCATTGTCCTCCCCCTCCTCATCATCATCAACACCACAATCATCATCATCATCATCATCAGCAGCAGCAGCAGCAGCATTCACAACACTACCATCACCATCACCATCTCCATCACTATCAACATCACAATCATCACCACCACCACCACTACCACCACAATCATTATCATCACCACCGTCATCAACAGGTCATCATCATCAGCAGCATCAGCACCATCATCAACATCATCATCGTCGTCGGCGTCGTCGTCGTCATCGACACCATCATCATCATCATCATCATCATCATCATCATCATCATCATCATCATCATCATCATCATCATCATCATATTCATCATCATCAGCATCATCATCACCATCTTCAGCACCATCATCACCATCATCATCACCAGCATCATCAGCATCATCAGCATCATCATCGTCATCACCATTACCATCACCATCACAATCCATCTTCACCACCACTATCATAATCGACATCATCACCATCAACACCATCACCACCATCATCATTAATATCCCCCTCCTTATCAGTTCAGATTATGCTTTCGCTTCCTCTGCTTCGCTTTCCTCCCTCTGCTTCCCGTGCATCTTTGTGCCTCCCTCTGCATCCTCCTGCTTCCATTTCCTACCCCCCTCTCCTCCTCTCCACTCCTCCCCACCTTTCCCCTGCCCCTTCTGCCCTCCCTCCCTCCTGGCGCCGGGATCCTCGACCCAGCCGAGGAGGAAACCGTGACACGCGTTTGCGCGGTGGCTTGCATTCTAGGAATCTTTGTAGTCCTCATTGGGGTGGGGAGGTCCACCACCACCACCACCACCACCGGCGCCGTTACGACAAGGTTCGCACTACCACAAGTCCCGCCCTCCTGTCCCTCCCTCTTGCTCGCCTGCTGGGTAGGAATGCGGCGACAAAGACACAGCAAACAGGCACAAAGCGACCCTGGAAGCTCGGAAAAAAAGCTCTTATGCCTGCGGATGTGCCTCTCAACCAGCAGGTCAATCGAGCCTTTCAAGACCTTCGTACTTGGCGTGATCGTACGGTCAAAGCTTGCACTTACTACGACCGGCTGGAGGCCGAGCTCAAGGCACAGCGCGATAAGGTTCGCGAGTGCTCGGAAGGCTTGGCGCTCGCTGAGAAGAAGCACCAGGAACTTGTGGCCCGTCTCAACGACTCGGTGTGCAACAAGCAGAAGCAGTCGAAGCCCAAGCTTGAGATCAAAGACATCTTGGAAGGGAAATTCGAGGACATCCCGCTCAGTGTGGACACCCTTGTGGATCCTGCTCTTGCTGCTGAGTACGAAATGTCTTCAGAAGAGAAAGAGGAGATGGACAAGCGAGTTTCTAGTCTCAAAGAGGCGCTCCAAACGTCCATCAAGCAGTTGTTCGGCGGAGTGGCCGAGCAGGTCAAGGCTTTCCAGGAGCAGCACGACCAGCAGGTCAAGCGCTTGGCTGCCAAGCGTCGTCGGGGGCCTGATGAGCCCGCTCATCCACCAGGTGGCTCAGTGGGCGCGGCTGGAGGCGACGGCGGCGCGCCTCCTGAGGCGGCGGGGTCAGCCGCTGCTGTGGCGCCGGCGGCCACGCCCGCGCCAGCAGCCCCGCCGCAACCGGCTTCGTCTTCGACTCCTTCGGCATCTCCGACGGCTTCGCCTGATGCTGCCTCTCGTGCTGCCCGTATTTTACAAACAGCTCCCCCCACTGGAGTCGACGCCCCAGTGGGGGGGACGACGACAAAGACAATCTTTGAAGTTCCATGGGCCTCTGATGGTGTTGGCGACTGGAGGTCCCAGCGAGCCCTGGGCTGTGACTCTCCCCTCGGGCCCACTCCTCGGGTCGCCCTCGAGCCTCCCTCCTCCTCCCCTTTCGTCGGCCTCTTTGCTCCTCCCCTCGACGTGCTTAGCGTCGCCCCCAGTTTGGGCATATCTTCCAATGCTTCGGGCCCTAGTTTTTGCGCCCCTCCGACCAGGCAGGATCCAGTGTCGCTGCACTGTGGCAATCTGAACGGTCGCCGTCTGGGTAGTTACAAGTTCCCGCAGGGTGCTGCCCCTATGTCCGAACAGGTTGAGTGTCAAGATCTGGAGGCTCCCACAGCGTGGTGGTCAAATATTGTGTCTTATGGGACGTGTGAAGCAGGGCCTTTTGCCGAGCGTGCTGCTCGATACCCTCCTCGCACCCCCTTTATGGCGCATCTGCATTCTGTTTTTGATCGGGCCTCTGTTATCCTCCGTCGGGATTCCCGGGGCCCCGTGTTAGCGAGTGGGCAGCTCTCCGTTGCTCCTATGTTGGTGTCTGAAGGTTTGGCCTTGCCTTTAGCCGCGCCCTCTTCCCAGGCTTTCAATTTGGCTAGTGCTGTTCCCAGCGAGGTTCAGCAGGTTGTTATTTCTTCTCAGGCGCTCCCTTTGGTCGCCCCTCGGACGCCTGCCGAGGCTAATTCATCCAGCACTTCTGGGACCCCTCTTCTCCAACCTCTGAGGCCAGAAGAGTTCCCCCAAGGCGCGCACACACCCACGTTCGAGACTTGCAACGTGTCTGGCTGGAGCAGTGCGCAGAACTGGCTTCTTCGTACACGCGCAGATGTTGTTCTACTGCAGGAACACCACATTCACTCTGACGATTTGGCCTCGGCCAGCTCTTGGTGCATCAGACATGGTTGGAAATCTATATTTCTTCCTGCAGGGCGAAGTCCAGAAGGCGGTCTCAACGCTGGAGTGGCGGTACTTGCTAGATCAGGGCTCGGGCTGTTCGAACTTCCCTCTGGACCGGAGGTGTGGCCCCACAGGGCGGTGGCAGGTATCGTTCAGCTTCCAGATGGTGTTCAAATATTGTGTGTCTCTCTTTATCTTCATGATTGTTCTGACCTTTCAGATGCCAACCTGGAGATTTTGGGGGCTTGCAGCTGCCTGGTGGGTATCCTGGGCTTTCCTGTTATCCTTGAGGCGACTTTAACATGATTCCTGAGGTGGTTGTCGAAGCCGATCTGGAAGCCATGTCTCAGGGGCAATGGCTTGTACCTGACGGCCACACATGCACGAGCACAGGTGGCGCCAAGACGTACTTCGCCAGCTCCGGGCTCAGCAAGGCCGTTGCGAAGGTGGCCATTGTTGACGATGCTGACTTGTCTCCGCACTTCCCCGTGCAGGTGACCTTCCACCCCCGGCTGTCTACTTTGCAGGCCCTCTCATTCAGCAAACCCCCTCCTCTCCCCACTGTGCCCCTTCTCCCTGTGTTTAAACTGGCCCCCTATGGGGGCCCAGGGGATGGTTTGGTGAGGCTCCGTGGCCAGGCACGCGATGCCGTTGAGAGTGGGGATTTCGTCTCCGCGCAGGATCGGCTCGATAAGCTTTACCGCTTGTGGGCGGATTCGGCGGAAAGGGAACTTGCCAGTGTGACGGGCGCTGTGTTGCCTTTCTTGGGCTCCAGGGATCGGGGCCCCCGTTTGCGCTGGAAGAGTATTCTTAAAAAGGACACCCGTCTGCCTAAGGAGCCAACTCTTCATTTTTACAGGTGGCTTCAGACTTGGTTTCTGTCCTTGCTGTGCCACTGGCTGGACGGCAGCGCCGCGGGCATCGACCGCCTGATCCGCATTGTCAGTGCTCCTGCCGCTGGCTTAGCTCCTGCGATTGCCGCTGATCCCACTCATTTTCGCGCTGGCCTGCTGGACATTGCGGCTCACATGAAAACGTTCCTCGGCGGGGCGGTTCCTGCTGGCTACGGCGACCTCCTCAGTGCAGGAGAGCGCCTTCTTTCTGATGTTTCGGCCTTGCACTCGGATTTCAAAGATCGGCTAGCCAAGGTGGAGGCCGACGCTCGACAGCGTTCCCGCATGGAGTGGCGAGATTGGCTGATGCACCGAGCTGACAGGGGGGCTAAACGGATCCACCTGGTCTTCAAGGGGGCCACGCCGTGGAAGCCAACGACTACGCTCTCTGATCAAGGAGTTGTCATTGCGGATCCCCTTTCATTGTTGAGGGCTGAAAGTACGCGTTTTTCGGAGTTATGGGAGGATGGCGCTCAGCGACCATGGATGCCCCATGGGGTCCTCAGCCCCCCTCTGCCCCCCATCACCCCGGACCAGATCCGCACCGTTTCGAAAGGTTTTCGGGAAAACACCGCTGTCTCTGTGGACGGGTTCCACATGAAGCACTTCTGGATGCTAGGCGACAGTAGTTTGCAGGCGATTTGCGATATCCTTATGATTATGGAGCGTGCCGCTCTCGTTCCCATGCAACTAGCTGTCATCATCATGGCTCTCCTCTCTAAGCCTCTTGGGAGGTTTCGCCCAATCGGCATCTTCTGCGGCGTGTATCGTATTTACGGCAGGGTGCGGCGTGAGCTTGCCGATGCGTGGGAACGGGAGCACATGCGGTCTTATTTATCGGCCGGTCCTTTTGAAGGGGCTCAAGATGTTGTGTGGCGCCAGGCCGTGGCTGCTCAGAGCAGCACGGCTTCTGGTGACGAGGCTGCCACTCTTCGCACGGACCTTTACAAGTATTACGAGTTGTTGGATTTGCAAACCTTGGCGAAAAGATGTCATCTCATGAATTTCCCCCTTGGGCTAGGTTATCTTGCCGTTTGTATGTACTCCCAGGCCCGGTTCCTCACCTTCGGAGGTTTCATTGATGGGCCTTACTGGGTCCTTCGGGGTG